AAAAATTAGGAGCAAAATGAGTCCAATATGCAAAATTTTGCCTAGGCCCAACTCAGGCCCAATTTCTAAGCACACCCTCAAGCATTGCTAAATGTCACCCCCTTTTTCCTACTGAAAAAATAGAAAATGAAAGTATCAACTAGGGAGGTTAAATGGAGTTAAACTCTCCAAGTAACCTACCTTAAAATCAATATACAAACAATTAGAAAAAGCAAGTAAAGTGCCTCACAAATACAAAGGCAAAAATAACCTATACAAGAGACTACTATATGTACAAACAAATGAAAAGGTCTTTAAGATCATCCCATTCCTCTTGGTTCTTTTAAGATATCACCTCTTGGATTCCTTGGCCTTGGCCATAGTCTATCATTACCGATCTCCCCTTCCCCTTCTTTCTCTCATGTGTCACCCTCGCCCTCCTCCGCCATGCTCACTGGTCTATCCTTTGATCATGACACTGGCCATTCCCACATCATTGCATACTCATACAAAATCACCCTCCTCACTCCACCTTCGACACTGTTGCACACCCTTTTCACAACTATGTCTTCCTCGTTGAAACCAATTGAATCAAGCTCTTGAAGCCCTTGACGAGTAATTCTACGACAAGTGCATCACCATCAAAGTAAAGGATAAGAAGTGATTACTGGGTTAAAATGTCCAAATAGCTTATCAAAAAAGACCTTTTATTAATTTTAAATAATTAATATTCATTTGTCCACTAATAAACAATATGATAAATTTGTTCATCATAATCAACGTCTAAATCCTTTTTATTTTTTTATACAAGTCATTTTATAAAATATCAAACAATTACATTTACTGTTAATTTTTAATTACATCACATTTCAATTTCATTATCACATATTTTTCATAAGTTAAATTACACTTTTAATATCGTGTAATATTCAATCAGCGATCTGGATCTCCGATTTCTTTTTTGGTGAATAGATAGGAGATGTAATTTTCTCTTTTCAAAATAACTAGTTTTAGAGGTAAAATTGAGACAATAAAGTTGACTGATACATACTTAAATTCGAAAGTAAAAATACAAATACAATTTGTGACTTATTCAATAAACGAGTATGTAAACAGGGCAGAAACTTTTAGGAAACCCATTCCCACCCTTAAAAAAGTAATTTCTGTCCTCCGAATGGCTTGATGCTATTTTTTTTTACTAGTAAAGAGTAGAGCGTAGGTATCAGAATAAGACCACGTCTTGGAAATTTTGGCGACACATCAAAACTCCAAGGACAAGAAAATTAATGGAATTTTCTATTTTTTTTTTTCATTTTTTTTTTTTGCATAGTATACCACAAATATACATTTTACGGGTGCTGAACACTACAAATCCCAATTCACAAGATTAAGATATCGCGAGTAGAAGACCAAGATCCGACCATTATCAATGCCGGCTACTCGCAGGATCATTATTCAAAGGCTTGAATCAGAGACTAATTAATTCTGAAATTTTGCATAGGGGAGAGGATGCCTTTAGAGGTATTCATGAGAAAGAACCAGCCTTCAACTTGGGTGCTTTCTGCTTCACAAAGAAAGCTGATAGCACACTTTTGCTTCGAGTAGGGATTTGGACATTCTCACGCCGATTTGGGTTGTCAAATGACCTGTATGCCGTCAGTGGTCTGGAACCCTCCAATGCATCCTGCAGATAGCCACTCGTGAGTAACTCTTTCATAGAAAATTTACGAAAATGCAAGGAAAGAACATTAATGAACATTCCTTTCAACCCTCAGACTCTTGTAATCAAGCACAATAACTAGCAGGAAAATGTTGTCCAGAGTTTCAAATATTAGGTGCATTATTTGATAGATAATGTTAAAATTTCATGTGTTTGGTGCAAGTCAAATAAAAGAAATAGTTTTTTCTTAGTAAGCTGGAAACAACCCTCTAAAGCTTAATGCTATGTTTGGATATCTCATAGTAGGTAAAGCGGAATGGAATAAAACAGAACAAAATAAAGCAAAACGGAGTGAAATGGAAAAAAATTACCAGTCCCTTGTTTGGATATGCTATTATTGGAGCGAAAACTTAAATTGGTTTCACACACCCCTTAAGTTGGGAGGGGATAACATTCGGGGTTTTGGATGGAACATATAAACATGTCATTCCATCACTTCCCAATAATCCAAACAATTCATTCCATCACTTCCCAATAATCCAAACATTTCATTCCATGCCCTTTGATCAATCTCCCAAAAAAAAAAAACTCTACGGAGACATTGTATTGATAAGGGAATTGAAGCAGAATTACAAAGAAATATAAGAGCCAACATTCTCCCCGCCAAGGATACTTTCTGATGGCTTAAAACTAAAATAGTGGCTGCTTCTACCCAAGGACTGAAGACAAACCCTTCTTAACCAATGCAACATTGCTTGCCAAAATAACTAATTTCAGTAAAAGATAGAGTACCAATGACAACAAATATGAAATTAGAAGAAGCAGTAATTCTAAAGCAGTCAAGCGTCCACTAGACATCATAGATATTGGTCATTATTTCTTTGTCCTATCCCAGTAAACATCTGTCTGCACATACGTTCATATTCATGTTCATATTCCATACAGCAATACCATAGCTAGACTACAAAATGCAGAGCTCATTACCTACATGAACCATTGTATAAGTTGAGGTCATTGAAACATTTCATGCAAGATATTATTTGGTAACATTAATGACAATTTAAAACCTTTTTCCCTTTTTATTCAAGTGTTAGACAAACAACTTCACCTAAAATTAATAAACAGATTTTAGAACACTTCCAGATATTTGGCAGAATAGGTAAATAAATCACAAGTTGACAATCAAATACGGCACCACCAGGCACCTGCACTTTTGTTGAATATGAAATTACCTTGCGTGTACTACCCAAAGTGTGCATGGGTGTACTAGAAGTAGGAACTCCATTTGGAAAGTGAATTTGTGCTGGTGAGGATTTCATCCAGGTGCTCTCTTCATTATCTACAGGCACATAACAGTGGATTATAAGGATCTATTACTTCTACATCAAGAAATAACCAATGTTTGTCCAGTTGAACTGAATTATTATTTATATATATATATATATATATAATAAAAGAGATACAACTATATCACAAACCTAAAAGATGGAAAACACCAGAGGCCTTGGCAGAAAACTTTGGATTCTCAATGCTGCAAAAGTAGATGTCATATGATAATGCCATCCATGCTGAGAGTGAAAAGCACAAAAAACAGCAGTCTAGTACAGTCTCAACCTATTAAATTCCTAAACTTACTTTGGGGAAGCATGTGCTGACCCTTTCAAGGTAGACTTTGTCTCTGATGCTAAATGCCATGAAAGAGTTTTTGCCGCAGGAGTACCTAGATATTGAAATATATATGTTCAGATTAATAATATAATATTCACTTCCAAAATAAATACAGAAATATGCCAAAAATAATGCCAAAAATTCTAGAAGTGACAAAACTTTCACCAGAATACACCTGAAGATTGAAAACGGTTTCTGGTTTGAAATGGATTCTGTCTTGCATCAATCTGTATGTGTGGACTGAAATGCACCTTTTTATTGACAGAATCTAGCTTGCATTGATAAATAAACATACAGAACCATTAGTAAAAATTAATGCTATAGATCTTTAGTTCCAACTTCCAATAATTACTTCCAGAGGAATATAAAAGTGGCGAGGCCTACTTGGCAAAATGTAGTGCTTATGATGTCTGGGAATGAAAGCCAACAATTGCTGCTGCCGTAGACCTTCTTTATCAGTGTAAATTTGGCATGTAAGAAGTTTCTGCTAGTAGGCAAATATGTTAGTTACTTCAACTCTAATTGATTTGTCTATTAAAACATAGGGTCTTTCTTAACACACTAGTAAATGCTTCCAAGTTCCAATTAAGGGAAGCATTAAATAATTATGTTTTCAACTTTTCATTGAAATAAATGTTATCATTCTTATTCAATACCGAAATACTTTCGTTTCCTTAACCAATGTTCCAAAGACACTCATTAACATTTCTCTAAAATGCAATATCTGAAAAAAGTTTGTAATTACCTGATTCAGGGTAGCAACCTTCAAATCCATAGTTGAGACATCCAATGTTTGCTGCTCAAGAAGGTCTGTTAACTTGAATGCGACTGTCCCTAGATGATCAACAGCATTGACAAGGGCTCTTACAGCATAATCTTTCAGGTTGTCAAGTACCCTAATGCATAAATAGTAAAACTTAAGAAAAATTCCATGCAGTTCAAAGTTCAAACACAATAATATGCGCATAGGAAATGATGTTGACAGTGACACTCATTTGTATTGGATAGGAAATATGGCATGTTCCTGTCATATTAAAAGAACCCTCACCATTGTCACTTTTGGATACATTTAAATAAATTAACTAGTTACAAAATTATTTTAAGGACAAAATCTAGTATCCTTATCAAGGATGACTATAACACTCATTCTCACCAATTTCACAATTAAGTATGACCATTAGACCATACATTAAGAATCCATATAATGAATGTTTTTGCATGCATGAATGCACATGCACACACACATAATTGGAAGACTGTTAAAATGATTAGGTTTCAGGAGCCAATAAAATTAAAATAAAAAAAAAGTTTGTATTTAGAAATCATCATGTTGAAATAAAAAGATACAGTCCAATCTATTCATTCTTTTTATCCAAGTTTCATATCATTTTATCCATATATAGCAAAATACATGTAATATTTGATGGTATACAACTATACATATGTGCTAGCCACAAGAAATAATTGAAATGCCCAAGCAGAAAAAAAAAAATAATTCATAACATTTGTATCACTGGATAGAATCAATTCCATCACTAATTGTTTGTCCTGTTTGGGAGCTTCAGTCATATACATAGAGAAGCAGCTAAAGAGAAGGGGTAAGAATGGCTTGAAGAGCAATAAAATAAAAGAATTCATTAACAAAAAGAATCCTTACATTTGTTTCTGTTCACTATGGAGATAAGATTTTTCACAGTATTCTGCAGCAGAATAAAGTTGAGGCCTTAGGTTCTTAAGTTCCTGAAATGACCATAATTTAAAGATTAAATGATTGCCTACGCATGTTATAAATCATAACCATGCCCACCAAAGAAAAAATATTCATGCATATCATAAGAAGATCCACAGCTATGTTAATCTCTCAAAAAGTGATGAATATTATCTAGACTCTCGCCTTAATTAACAGCACAAATTAATATCATTTTGACTTGCAAATAGCCACATCTAGATTTGATCTCATTGACTTCAGTTCCAGCCATGCCCACCAAAATTTATAATTTAATTTATTATATATTGTACATATATAATGTTTTTTAAAAAATGTTTTTATATTTAATTACTTTTGATTCCTGCATTATGCTTGATATTTGGTTTGCTTTTTTAATTTAATCTTTTGTCTTTTTAATTGCTATAATAAAATCCATCCATCAGCTTCCCTCTTCTTGAAACTCTCAAATTCTCATTTTCTTTATCCACCATGAACTAAACTGATTAAATTATTTTTTGAACACTGTTCCACTCAACTCACCAATCAAAACATCCTATTTTATCCAAAATTAGAAAATTCTAAATGCTTATCTTCGTTGAAAACTTAGTTTCACATTCTATAAAATCATTAAACTTTCATCAACTTCGTACCTCTTGAAACATTTCAACTTATTTCTTAGATAAGTCAAACCCCTCAATTATTTGAATAGAAAATAAGGATGTGATGACTTTGTGTAGAGGGAAACTCCCGGTAAGACTTAATTGTAATAATTTAACTTAATATTAGAGGACTAAATTCACATTGGTCATCGCACAAGGACAAAAATTACATATAAGCATTTTTCAATTTAATTACTTCTATGGCAGTCTCATATGGAAATGGATTTTCTCTGGTGAGATTGGTACTACTGCAAGAGATCCTGGTCCTTCCATGGATTTTATTAATATAATATATTTCTATTATAAACTAAAAATTTAAAGGAATAAACGATGAGATCATTACACTACCCCTTCCCACGTTTTATCTATTGGACAAAACTTAGATGCAGTTTTGTAGATGTTTTTCATTTAGAATTAGAATTTCATCCCCGTAGGATGCATAATAAAATTTTGCATTAATGATAGGAGAATAAAATTTCTATTTAAATTACAGAGATAAAATTTCAATTAGGAGAATAACACGGAAAGCACCAATGAGAACTACATCTAAGATTTGCCCCAATCTATTTGCCATTTGGCCAAGCTAATTAAAACCATATAGCTCTGCCATTGCCCCCAACCCCAACACCTTTACCATAAACAAATTTCAAGCCAACAGCATCTAAATTTTTTTAATAACAGCTCCATCCCCTAGTTTCAACACAACTGCATCCTTAATTCCTTAAATCATTCCGAAGCATCACTAACTCGATACACGCTAATTCTCTTCGAGTTTTTAACAATCCCTAACCAACACACGTGGCAGAACCTTGCGCAATCACACACACAAACCTAATTGGGAACAGAACTAGATGGCAGAAACAAAGTCAACCAAACAAACACAGATCTGAAGAGAGAGACGAAAAAGAAAAGTGACGGCAAAAGGAAAAACGAAGAAAGAATAGAGAGAACCTGCAAGGCGTTGACGAAGCTCTTGCTGCGCTCCATGGAGGCTTCGTCGAAGGTCATGGCGGAGTTGAGAGGCGCGGCGGTGGGATGCTCCAACTCCATTGTTGTAACGGAAGGCAACTATCAAGAAAGGCAAGTAATGAAATAGCGGAAAAGAGAGTAACTAGGAATGCAGCGGAACCGCCATTGATGGATGGTGCTATTATTATGATTACTGCATAATGAATGGGAAATGGCAACAGAAGAGAGAGAAAGGGAAAATGGAAGAGAGAGAAAGAGTGTGTGTGAGGTGTGAGCGTGAGTGAGAGCTTTTTGGAGTTAAGTGGAAGGGAATATTTAATGCACTGCCACGTGGCAGGGTGGTTAGTTGACGCCAACTTCCACTTCACTCAATTCATCCTTTCCAGGTGAAAAGACAAGACTACCCTCGCATCTTCGGTTGACCTTAATCACCCACTGGCACTTCTGCTCTTCCAATTAATTCTCCTACTATTAATTAAAATTTTTAACTTATTGGATAAAAGTAAAACTCTCATTTATCTCATTATTCGAACAACTATAAATTTAAAATATGATTTTAATTATTTATCATATCAAGAAAAAAAATAGTTATTTATTTGTTCTTTCAAATTTCTTCCCAATTTTCATATTTTCACACTCTTGATATAATATCAAATCCATTTTTTTTAGGTATTTCCAACGTAGCGAAAAAATTAATCACTACTATCCACAATAGATACATCAAGAATAAAAAAAAAAACAAGCATCGTCCGTTAAATTATGACAGTGTGTATTGGTAGGTTACCTCTGTCCTTGTTACATAATTGTTGCAACTTGCATTCTCCACCTAATAACACCTAATGTTTTTTTTTATATATATTTAACGAAATGTTATTAAATAAGAAATAATATACACAAATAAATATGCATTATTTGATTAAAAAATATATATGTATACATAATATTTATGTTCCCAAAAACTTACTAATTTGGATGCTAATTTTATTTTTATCATGTTATTGCATATAAAAAATCGTACAAATGTCTAATGTAATTACTAACGCATTTTTTTTCCTTTTTGAAACTACGTATAACATCTGCTAAAGATAATTCTCTTCATGATGAGAAAATTGGTCACATCTAAGTTACATGGTTACTGGATATAGACGGAATTTGTATTTATTTATTTTTATAAAAAAAAGGAAAGTGTTAATCTCTATATATAGAAGGTATATGAAGATAAGACAAAGATTTAAAAGCAACAAAAGCAAGGCCTGGAAGTAGATTTAGGTCGTCTTTCATTTTCATTTGGTACGGATTACCTAACTGAATCCTTAATTACCACGCAATGAAATCAAAAACCCGACACCTGAAGATCTGCACGTAAGAAAGAAGGTTTGTTGCGATACTAAAAATAAAAATAAAAATCAGGAATACAACACCGTGCCAACTGAAGTATGGTGAGTATCCCTCGTATCCCGGATCAAATCCACACAAACAAATTTTATCATACTTTTGTTTTTTCATTGTCTTTTCCTCCACACATTTATCTGTCTTATTTTTTCTCTTATTGTTTTAGGGCATCTACAATCTTTAAATAGGTATCATTGACTCATAAATTTTATTTTAATGAAAGTTATTTATAAATATCTCTATTTTTTAATAACTTATATTACATTTTTTGTTCTAATAGGAGTTTTCATCAATAATATTGATCCAATAAGCTGTTTCTATCAAGTAATTTCAAAAAACAAGAAACATTGCTTACCGGTTCTAAAAAATTCTCTTAAACTTATAATTAAACATATTCTAAAGTGTAAAATATATCTCAACTCATCATTTACATACTTATTCTTCTTAAACAAAATATTTTAATTTTTAATTAATAATGAATCAATTTTTTTTCATATGCAGATGAACTTCAATCCGATTAACATTATTTAACAATTATAATTATTTTAATAAAAAAATCATAAGAAAAATACAACAACAATGAAACTTCACAAAATTATGGGAAAAAAAAATCCCTTTTTAGATAAGAAAGATCGAAAAATGAAACTAATAGATAAAGATCATGGCATCAGTTAAAGTCAAGGACCCCATATCATTAGTCTTTTTTCACTAATTATCACGTTATTTCGTTGTCCCCACTCCCCCTTTCTTTTTTCTTCCTTTAGTTTTTCTCATTATCTTTATCCACTTTTTCTACTTTTCTCCTCCAAAAAGGTTCTGAACAAATCTTTTTCATTTAAGAAAAAGTACCAAAACAATATAAAAAAATTATTAATGAAGACTTATTTTGTCTATAAATTATCGTTATTATTTTAGTTAGTCTTTGATTCGAAGAAAAAATAAAAAAATAAAAATAATAATAATTAGTGGTATAAAAATTTAAAAATTATATATTAATATATATTTTAAATATTAGTAAAAACCCAACCAATCACATATTTTCTTCTTCCACTTCATAATAACTCAATAACTTCAATTATCCACATCGTAATCTCCTTTCCTATCAGAAATTTCTTGGAAAATGAAAATTTGTCGTTAGATTTTCCGGAATTCACAGTTCCGTGAGACAAAAGAAAATATCGAAACATTTCCATGGCCCTTCTAATCCACTCCCCGGAAGTGTCCGTTGCACCCCAAATTGCCCATAACCCTAACCCTAACCTTCCCAAACTCCACAGCTTCAGACCCCACACAAAGGCCAAAGCGATTGGGCCAAAGCGTGGGGTCAGAATTTCTTGCAAAGTGAAAGACTTTGCGGTTGTGAATCCGTACGGTCAGTTTTCGGTTCCAGTGAAGCGAGGGTCGAAGCAGAGCAAAGAGGAGGAAGAAGAGAAGCAGAATTACTATGTTAATGTTGGGTATGCTATCCGAAGTTTGAGGGAAGAATTCCCTGATCTCTTCTACAGGGAACTTAGCTTTGACATCTACAGGTTCGGATTTTGCTGCCTCTGTTTCGTGATTTTCCTGATGGGTGTTGAGTGTAGAAGGAGAGTGTGTAAAGTTAGTGATGCTTTTGTAAGGATTTGTGTGGATGGTGTGTGATTTTTTTTCCCTACCAATCTCATAAGCTGTGGTTATGGCACAATTATTACTTACTAGGATCACATGCTGTTGTTGTATTTTACTTTAGGATTTAATTAGGATGTAGTAACATGTCTTCACCCTAGTGGTGGGAGAGTTGGAGTAATGAACTCTTGAGTTCTAACCCTAGTAAGGCCTTTGTACACAACAAAAGTTTCATGTCATCTAATCATATATTGCTATGTATGGTAAGATTATTGACTTTTGTATTAATTACTTGAGAATTTTATTAGAAATAATACTCAGAGATTTTCTTATATTGTCATCTAATCAAGGATTCTCATGTATGATAAAGCGTGTTCACTTTCATAATAACTTCTTTAAAAGTCATTCCTAAGAGGATTTATGATTGGTTGACAGTGTAAAATCACTGATAGTGCATGAAGATTAAACTCTAATGTTAAAAGTTACATTTTTAGGATATTTTTAATTCGTTAACGGTTTACAGGCTTGATTGTTATAGAGTGAGATTTGAGAACATTGTCTTTAGAAGTTGTATGAGTTTTTTAAATGGTCATGCAATCTTTACTATTCATACAAGATCGGATGATCAAGATTTACTGATCTCACTTATCACAAAAAGATACTGCTCTTGCACAGTATGCCCTTAGACTTCTCTATCTTAATCTTTAAGTTTAAATATCATAGAATGTGCATCGGTTGCGTGTAATTTACATGATAACTTATAGTAGGTGTATAAGTCAAGAAAAAATTGCCAATGAAGCCTGTTCTGATGTTGGTAGTTATGAGCTTTTTGATAACTACGACTTCCCTAGCAATTATAACTGTAGTGATACATGCTCTTTAATTATGGCTATACATCCCTTTCTTCGTTATCAAAATGGAAGGTGTTTAAGTGTCATATTTTAGGTACATTTATGGTGTCTGGTTGAGTATGTTGGTGTTGTAATTGGTTGCTACTAACTAGATCATGACTTCGGTCACAATTTTATACCAAGGTAGTTAGTTGCACTTGTTTAAGCAACTCTCGACTCAAGTCCTTCGCATTAATATAATCAAGAAGGTTATTTGACTAAACAAAACAACAAGAGACACTGTTAATCTTTTAATTGAATCAATAAATTTAGAGAGAAGCTTCTGTCGTGAACCATTTTTCCCCCGAACGTATATCCCTCAAGGATTGACAACTTTATACTATCTATCAGTAAAATTAAGCAGGGGATTGTTCTCATCCATGGATAAGGTCTATTAGTTATATTTAACTTTTTTGCAAAGACATTTGATTACAATCAGGATCAGTAAGTTGTTGCGACTTACATGGTCTCCTTCCAGGCCTAATACTATAGCTCAAATGAGTGTCACACATATTTTAGCAGTCTATATTTTGAAGATTGCAGTAGGGGCAAAAGGTACTTCTTGAGGGTCTTTCTCTTCGGACACACACGTACACACACATTTATATATATATATATATATATATATAATCAAATGTGCTTTTTCAGTAATGCGAATATTAAAAGGTCCTATGAAATAATTAAGTTCACACGATTGTCCTCTTTGAAATAATTAAGTTCACAATATATGTCTTCTTTCCTCTGTTATTCTAAATTTGCTGACTATAATATCCCTCTTTTTTCAGGGATGATATTGTGTTTAAGGATCCTATGAACACATTCGTTGGTATTGAGAATTACAAATCAATCTTCTGGGCACTACGATTTCATGGCAAGATGTTTTTCAAAGCTTTGTGGGTGGACATAAGTACTGTATGGCAGCCTGTTGAGAACGTCATTATGGTGCGCTGGACTGTTCATGGGATCCCACGAGTTCTATGGGAAAGTCGTGGTAGGTTTGATGGAACTTCTGAGTATAAACTTGACAGGCAAGGCAAGATTTTTGAGCACCGGGTTGACAACATTGCTCTGAATTCACCTCCTCGGTTCAAAGTGCTGGGTGTGGAAGAATTAATTCAATCTCTTGGCTGCCCCTCGACTGCAAGACCAACCTATTTTGAAATATCTTCACCTCCTAAGAGAATGTAATTTGCTCAGGTTCTTCAAAAAGTTTTGGTGTAAATTGTGCATAGTATGGTAAACAAAACATGGAGCTAGATATATTTTATCTTGCTTGTCACATAAAGCTGTGAGAAAAAAGGTGTTGTCAGACTTGGTTATATGGTGCTCAACTCTGTTGGCAGCAGTTATAACTTTTAGGGTCATTGCTGGCTACTGTAACTAGTTGAGTTTTAAAAGCCCTGTATATAATTTAATTGCTACGTATCTCTTATGTCTTACTCCATCTATAGATTTATATAAAAGCAAATTGTGCCCTGATGCCATATTCATATACATTTTAATCCTTGTTTCTCAGTTCTCACAAGTCGCATCTCTCCCTGTTTAACATTTGATTAAACGTGAGAAATTGGATTTGAGCTCTTGCTCGTAACTGTAAATAGAAAACATTATGTTGGACTGTAAATAGTGTGATCTTCTGTGATCAGTAAATGTTAAACTAATGGTGTAAAAGTAAAAGTAAATGTTAAAATAATAGGACTTCTAATCTTCTTTGTATCATTAGGGCAACGCCTGGATGGTAATCATTTGCTATACAACATTTCGTTACTTCTGATTCTTACACAAATTATTAGAATAAAACATTTAGTCCATGGAATTACAAATTAGTACTACTAGTTAATTTGGTCTTTGAAGTTAACCTAACAAAAAGATAAATCCAGTATTTAATTTAATTCTTAGTCAATTTGGGCCCTGATATTGAAAAAAAAATTGTTTTTTTGGGAATTATCAATCAATTTAGTCTTTACTTTTGATAATTATTATTCATATTGGTCTTCAATAACAAGAATCAAATTGGCTATTTTAATGATTTCAAGGAATAAATTGACCTGTAGAGTCAATTTTAAACTTCAAATTGATTAGTATTAATGTGAAAGACTTTTTTTTTTTTTTTTTTTTTTTAAATTTAAA